ACATAGCGAATATAGCAGACATGCCAACAAACATATATGGATATATGTCACTAAGCAACGGACTGTCAACAACACTCATATTATATATAATATAAATGGAATATACATTGTTAAAAGAGACAGGTTCATACAAGTGAAGTGGTCACAGACTAACCGAGCAAACAGAAAGAGAGACCAACATACACACACACATAAATATATATGTGGATACATATCACATATCCCCACCGTCTAAGAACCAGTAACCAACATCAACAACAACAAGCATCAATCACTATCAACGGAGTAAATTTGAAAGATGTCAATCACCTCCTTTACTCATCTAGACAGCCTCATCTCAACTACAGGTGACAGTAAGAATGGGAATGCCAAAACCAGTCAGAATTGAAAGGCAAGACCGATAACTTCATTACTCTGAAAGCAGTTTTAAGATCTACTGCACACTGTTGTTCTTCTATATTTGGTCACAAATTTGGTTCATGTGTCATGAAAAGCAGGTCTAACAGGCCACCGCAGAACTTTACCAACAGTTGACTTCAGTCCGTATTGAAGACAAGATGGCCAGAGACAATTAGCAACAAGACGTACGACGTACGAATCAAGAACTTGTTGCTCAAAAAATATGTAGATGAAAATATAGATGGATACGGGCTTCAGAGACCTTCCTTCAGGTGATGTCGTAACGCGACTGGGAAACGACGAGTTGGACCTCTGAGCTAGCCACAAAAGAGGTTCAAGTTCGAGATTTCAGGCTGATGCACTCGTAAACTACATCTAGCCGGTGGTAAACCCAGAAAAGTGGGAATATTGGGCATGAGGCTAATACTCCTACCTCGTAATAACAACGCCACCGATACTGAAAACTGTGAAAAGCCAGAAGCCCGATGTGTTCCATTCAAAACGTAAGGAGTGAAATAACGGAGAAGAGGAAATATATGAAAGACAGTTTATTAATTCAGGTGTAATTATTGGATGATGGATCCACATTCAACTCAGTATACAAAATCAGTTCACGTGTGGTGAGAGCAGGCTGCTAGCCGATTGGTTGGCACTAATCTACGTTAAGGTCTAGGTCACTAATATGGGCCGTGAGAGAGGCTGAGTCAACAACCAATCACAGCAAAGTTAACGTGGCAAAAGATGATTCGCAGATAGAGAACTCTATTTGTTAAGGAATCCCGAAACAACCAATCAGAAGCCTGCGTTTGTCTACCTAACTTCTGATAAACAACCAATCAGATGACTGCGCTTGTCTATAATAATGTAGTTGAAATATGTATAAATACGTGTTGATTTTCATAATAAAACGATCTGTTGCTTCGCCCTTGTCTTCTGTTGTTACACACGTTTCCACAATATCAAAACAAATATACACAAGATAAGAGATCAGACGCTTAAGTAACATATAAAAATAAAACAAGTGACCTCTTTTAACTAGGTACCTGGGAGGCATCGTTTCAACTACAGGCAGACGGAATTGACGAGGATATTAAAGCGAAGATCGGGGAAGCAAGACGAGCTTTCATTTCTCTCAAGCGTGTGTGGAGGTCAACAGCACTCAGCGTGAAAAATAAGATCCGGATTTTCAACTCCAATGTGAAGTCAGTGCTACAATACGGATCAGAGATTTGGCGCCGTGTCACGAAGGACACTTCAAACAAACTATACACCTTCATCAACAGCTGTCTTCGCTCAATACTACTCAAGATCAGGTCACTGGCCAGAAAAGATCAGCAATAGTTAAGGATCTTTGGTAGCGGACTAACCCAGCAGGAACAGATTGTGCAACAAATATGCAGGAAGAAATGGAGATGGGTTGGTCACACTCTGAGAAAACAAACTATCAAGTGACATCACAGGCCAGGCTCTCTTTGTCGAATGGAACCTGAATGGGAAGCGGCGAGTTGGCCGTCAGTGTGAGAATGACATGGAGAAAGTTATGTGAAGAGGAGATGAAAGCATGTGGGCAGACGTGAAGTTAAGTGAAAACGTTGGCAGGAAAGAGAACCCGATGAAGACGTGCACCTGAAGCCCTATGTTCCTCTAGGAACTAAAGAAGACAATAACAATGTAGTAATAATATTGTACACTGCGTCGGTGGCATAGCGTTAAAATGCTCCCCAACCACACAGGTGGTTCGATCCCCGGTCAATGGACCTCGCTAAGCCAGTAATAGACTGGCTTCGCGTGCTACACGGAATGTGGCGACTTGAACTTCCGCACATTTGTGCACAGTTCTATGTCGAAAACAGACAGACAGACAATAAGACTGGTAGAGAGGGGAGGTTAAGCATGAGGCTAGCAACCCCATCCCGTAAAAAATAGACGCCAGTGCTACCGAAACTGTAAGCCTCTAGCTTGAAGCCATATGTTCCACTGGGCATGTAAAGGAATAAAAAGATTATTATACAAAGTTAATGTTGTGTGCATAAATGGACATCTTGATATTGGTAAACATTTTCCTAATATCTTTAAGAGTTTGCTTGTAGGCATTTGATTTGTTTCAAGTTTCATCATGGATTGATATCAATCAAAGAACTATTAAAAACCACCACGAGGTATTGGACAGAGGTTTTGTCCTAGTTTGTGACTCTTCAACAGTACGCACCCACCACCAGGTTTCGAACCCAGGGCCGCCCAATTACAAGGCAAATTCGCACTCTATTCAGCCACTGAGACTCGAACCAATGGCACACGAATGCTAACTTCTACCAATTCGTGATTTCAGCACGACTGGCACACCAGCCAATGTCGTTGGCCAGTATTTTTCCTCACTCCCCGAACCGGGTGGATCCCTGTTTACCATCAAAGTCTATTAGAAGTTGCCATTTTAGAAATAACCGTAAAACTCTCAATTAATGATTCTGGTTCAAAGAATTTCACAAAACTCGACGATAAATTAACTGAAGACGAATATTTAGGCTACACGGAATCCAACACTGTCGATGCTATTTCTCTTTATCAGTAATTCCGACCCCCCCTCTTATTGTTCATTTTTTATTTTCTGAAATACAGATATTTCCGTATCATTTTTCAAGGTACTCAAACTTCGTCTGAAAAGTCAAGAACGCAAGTAGGAGCTGACTAGTTGAAATGGAAATGCATCATCCTAATATGGCATCACAGTCTCACAATTAAACTGCTGTGAAGTTACATCGATTAAGATGGTTATGACATATGTTACGTATGACTAGCCATCGACTTCCTCGACTACGGGCAATGTTAGCTGACATAGGATCACAGGTTGGAAAAGAGCCAGTGGCTGTCAAACCAAAACGAACCTGGGTTCATCAGTCAATGAAATCCATAACAGTTAGTTTAAGCCAGTCACATAGGAAGGTGTAGACTGCTGTCTGGTTTGAGTCCTTGGGATTGTAAAAACCAATGAAGGCTGGAGAAAATTGGTGATATGGCTCAAAATCCCCGTTCTCAATGGCACAGATGTATCCGCTCCTTGTGGCTTATTGTAAGATCAATTCTATTCCCATCCTTGAATCAAGTCAACCTGTCCCGGATCAGCCTAGCGTTGTTGCAACCCAATTATCCATGCCTAACGTGTCTATCCCTGCTTGTTTAATGAACTGTGTGTATGTGTTTTTACCTCGATCCGTTTAGTCAGACAGTTGAACTCATGTCCCAATCAGAGTATTTTGTGAACTGTTGTTTTTGCTGACCCATGTCTAACTTTGTACTATTCTGTCGAGTTTATCTTATTTATTGATTTTCATCTGTATTTTTCTACCTGGTTAAGTAGCCAATTAAATTCCATCTTTGTGCCTATGCTCGGTCTATCTCTCTTAAACGCTCTCTGTTTTATGCCATGCCTTACTTGGGTTCATTCTTCTACTGACTGCTTACCTGAACGGTCGTGTCTGGTTCCGGCTAGTTCGCAATTTTGGCTTTAACGTTATTCCGCTCTGATAGCGGTACCTTGCTTACTGTTAAGCGTTGTGCTTTGTACTCTTGGAACCGTTAAGGTTTGTTGTATATATAATTATTGATTTGTTTATTAATAGTACCGTAGAAACAGTGACCGGCTTCTTGTTTGTTCTGGACCGGGATAGCCTTTATCTACGCGTGACTTAATTTCAAGCGATATTGCGCTTACACTTATAATACCCAATAAAAAGTATATTGTTCTTCGAAATTACTATTCTTTTTGCCTGGTATTTCTGTTTACTTTGCGTTTCTTTTTACTTTCTTCTTCTCTGGCTTTGTATGCTGAGTGAAGTGTAGCAACTCGAACTGCTACACATCGGTCCAACGTTCTACGTTGAAACCAGTCGGTCAATTAAACTACACACTTCATAACATATCCATTGAGCGGGCTGCAGCTGCTGCTGCAGGTGCTGTTTTTAGTCAAGCGGTTGAAATCAATACTCGTCTTCAACTAAAATATTAACACAAAATAGTAAAAATGTGAACAGTATTCTTTGCGAATTTTATATTTATCCTATTTTGTTTCCGTAAGGGGAAAGTACAGAAAAAAAAAAAGACAGACATCTCAAAAATGTGAAGACTGAAGTGACCTTGTTATTTATGAATACTTTCTCCTCCTAAGATAATCACCAATTCAACTGGTTGAAGACTATACTCTCCTCCAACAATTTTATCACCATAAGCTCTTCTGTTTTCAGTCATTCCTTCACATACAACACAGATCCGGTGATTTTAGTTTGCAAACGCTGACAGTTTCAGTAAGACGTTTACAGATATGAAAGACTGATGAGAATGAGCTTCATCATAAAAAAGACGTTTAGATACTGTTGCAGTATGTGGGGGGAGGGGGGTGTTCTGTGCGCTCCACCATCCCTTCTATTCACCAACCGAAAATAGTGTTTAGTGAAGTGGTGAGTAACGACAAAGTTGTCATTTATAAATTCCATTGCGAAAATAACTGTGATAATATTGAAACTTTAAACCTCATAATATTGAAACAATAAGAACTGAAAATTAAGAAAAAAGCTTTACAACAATATATATATATATATATATATTGATTAGTAGGAGAGAATTTCATGATGACGGTTTCTCACACCACCGATGTCGCTGTCACTGCTGGTACTAGGAGTAGAAGTGGCAGTGGCTACATCATCATCACCGAAATTCCCTGTCGTGGTCGGCGTACAATCTGTTAATTCCACTGGTAATAACAGTGTTGAATTAATCGGTGTTCTACAAAGTGGACAAGTCAATAATCCGATAAGATGATGAGGCGCTGAAGACATAGCTGAATTGTGAAGGGATTGGAAACAATCATGACAGACAGCTGCATGACGACATGGAAGGAGAACACGTAGAACATTGGATGTACTATCCGAGGAGGAGAGGCATATAAAACAACACGGTCTCCATGTTTTGTGGTCGTCTTTATCACCGTTGTCTACCACCACCAAGTTATCAGTTGTCTTCACAGGCAGGGGGGTTGTTGTTTGTTCTTCCGTATTATTATTAGCATCTTGACCAGCATCAAATAGAATCTAATAGAAAAAGGGTTTTTTGTAAAAACAAATTCGTAATTCTCTGTTGAATAAAACAAAAATGATTATTTTTAACTAAAGATTATTTTGGACTAATAGTGTAATCTAACTGAAATGGAAAGTGCTCAAAAAACATCGAATATCCATGAAATGTTTCGTGTAATTGGTTAATGAATCAGCTAACTAAATTTTTAAGATATTCGACAATCAATACTAATATTTCTTCAACTTCTACAGCGGAAAATTTTATTGAATTTGAGATTTTCCCGTCGATTGATTGGACCGAAGTACTCGGTCTCAGGTTGACACGTCGGCTTCTTGTGCAGATGCTTTGACGATGTCTGGGCATTTAGTTAGTATTTAATCGGTGGATGATGACTGGCAGTGGAATCCAGGATGCGCATTTCGACCTATTTGGGACTCGTCATCTGGATGTACCTGCATTTCTCAGTGAGTGATGATGTTCCCCATATGAGGAATGCAGGTGCATCCAGTTGACGAGTCCCAAATAGGACGAAATGCACATCCTGGATTGCACTTCCAGTCACCATCCACCAATTAAATTCCACAGCGGATGAGTGTAGTCACGAATGAGAACAACAGTTGTCAAATTTTTACCAGATTAGTGAATTGTGTACACCAATCAGTGCTTTCTAACTACTGATGGCGTTTGGTAGTGTGCTTAGACACCTAGCTTAAAGAAAGGCAAGAATGAAGTAGTGTAGAGAGTATCGGCCATTCCACTTATTTGAGAAGTTGCATCAGCCCCAACGCACTGACTAATTGCTGACGAAATCTCAGGACGGATACAAAAGGCTCGTTTGGTATATGCCGAATTACATCATCACCTCTGGCTTAGCAGACGTGAGATCCTGCAGGCTATTGACCAAAGGACATGTGTACTGCATAGCAGAAGTTCACTCCGTCCTCTTTATGGCCAGCTGTGAGTGAGACATAGCCATTGGAAGTGGGAGACATGAAAAGCCTGGTTGGCTGTCGTTGGTCATAGGTGTCTGCGTTCAATCTCCACTGTTAAGTGGAGAATCCTACTTGAATCCAGACAGACAGACTGTTAAGTGGTAGATGTAATAGAATAAGTAATATTTGAAGTTAAGCGTCGAATGTTAGGTAAAGAGAGATAATCTATAGAGGAGGTTGTGAGGCTACATCCGTTGAGATGGTTAGGGTACGGAGTCACACATGCCTACTTATCAACTTCCATATCAAGAAATGTTATTTGATTTGGGACTGACTTGGAAAAGAGTTATGCGTGTTCGAAGCAAAACATGACAACAGTAGTAAATACTGTACAACTGTTTCGTCCTGGTGCTCGGGACTCTTCATCAGTACGCTCCAATTAGTCGAAAACAGGATAAAAACATCGTCATCACAAAGGCTGAAAAAGGAAACTCTACAGTAGTTTTGGATAAATCTGACTATTTTCAAGTATTGGTTTTGTAGGGATTTAGTTGGATTGGATGGAGAGTTTCATCATGAGCTGACATCAGTTAAAGAACCACTGGAAAACTGTATCGGGTCCCAGTGGCTCAATGGTCTGCTAGCTCGCCTCGTAACCAGAAGTTCCTGGGTTCGAACCGTGGTAGGTGGGTGCGTACTGCTGAAGAGTCCCAAACTAGGACAACGGAAACAGCTGTCCAGTACTCCCAGGTTTTCCAGTGGTTCTCTAACTGATGTCAGCTCATGATTAAATCCTCCATGCAATCAAATCTGACTATATCAAAAAAGTTACTGAACATATTCAAACGGGTCCATATGAAGAAATTAAGAAGCCTGTAGATACAATAATGAATAAGGTTAAGAAATCTACAGCAGAACTAATACGCAGAATGAAGCCGCCACTGGGTGAGTCAAAATGGTTTAATTTAATGCCTAAAACTGATGATGCTAGTAGAATGTATGGTGCTATTAAAATACATAAGCCAGGTTACCACATACGACCAATAGTAGATTTTAGGAATACCCCTATTTAAGAATTATCAAAACACTTAGCTCTAATATTATGCCCCATTAGAAATCGCTCAAACTCTAGATTAACTAATTCATATGAAAAAAAAACTAAATGACATTCAACTAGAGAATGATGAAGTAATGGTTAGTTTTGATATAACTAGTCTTGACACTAATATACCAGTCAATATGGCCTTAGAAGCAGTTAAAAAAGAACTAACTGCGGATCATGAACTCAATCATAGGACAAAGCTGCCCATTGAAGAAATTTTTTTAGGGATTCAGTTATGCCTCATATCTACTATCTTTAAATTCCAAGGCAAAATATATAGACAAACAGGTGTAACAATGGGATCACCAATATCCCCTATTGTAGCAGATATATTTATGGACAGCTGGGAAAGTAGTGCTCTTAATAAGTTTAATCCTACTCCAAAAATGTGGTGGAGATATGTGGATGGCACTTCCACAGTGAGTATCTCTAGCTTCTTGACACATATAAACTCACAAGTTGAGGGAATAAAATTCACATTTGAATCAGAAAATAAACAAAGAGAATTAGCTATGTTAGGATGTAAGATAAAAAGAATAGAAGAAGGCAAACTAAACACCAGTGTTTATAGAAAACCAACGCATTCTGCTAATAGATATTTCGACTTTAATTCGTTTCATACTTTAACTGTTAAGGCAGGTTTAGTTAAGTGTTTAACAAACCGAGTAGTGGCACTAAGTAGCACAAAAAAAGACCTAAATGACGAAATAAAACAGATAGAAGAGGCTGTGGTGTTAAATAACTATCCTTTAAAATTCATTATGAAGATTGAAAAAGGCCAAAGGAAAAATAAAAATAATTGTGAAACTAGTAATAATAACATAAATAAGAAAGAATATAAGTCATCTACAGTTATACCATATAAAGAGGGGACATCTGAGACCCTACGTAGGATTCTAAATAAAGCAGGAATTAGGGTGGCATTCAAATCTACAAACTCACTCAGACAGGACAAGCTGTGTAGGTTAATGGACCTGTCGGTTGACCCAATTAGACAAAATAATATAATTTACAAAATACCCTGCAATGACTGTCAGTTAGGTCAACTACATAGGTCAAACTAGTAGGTCAGGGGTAGTCAGATTGTCAGAATATAAGAATTCAGGTAAGATAAGAATTGTTGACCTTGAAAAGATAAGTAATTTAGAAATAAGATCAGCGATTGCACTGCATGCAGTTCCATACAACTACACAACAGGGTGGGAGAGGGTTCAAATTCTAAGGAGTAATATAGGTAGATGGAAAGACAGGTTGATTACTGAATCCTGCCTGGTTCATCGAGTCTACACCCAACACGTGCATTAGGAATGACTCATTACTCATACTGGCAATAGGGAAAATACTACTACCTATCAAGTCAAGCGAGGAAAAATAATGGAATTATATAAACGAAGTTAGAGAGTTGTGTGAAAACCTTGATATGATTATGAGCAGTAACAAATTGTGCTGGAAACGTGGTGATCAGTGAATATTGCTGTATAGCAACACTGTGAGACTATCAAAATAAAAATTTTACCATAATGGAATTAATTAAATTCCCGCAAACCAACGCTAGCATCCATGACTTTTCTGACTGTTAGTTTTTAACATAACTCAAATCTGTTCTCATCTGAACAAATGCACTCGCTATTATTGATCTTCCAGACTTATTGGAATTTGAGACGTGGCTCACTGGCTTAGCCTGTCTGTCTGTTTTCGACATAGAACTTTGCACAAATGTGCGGAAGTTCAAGTCGCCACATTCCGTGTAGCACGCGAAGCAAGAGAAGAAAGTACAAGAAAAGCAAATAGAAACAGTGAGCAGAGGTGTGAGACAAAGGAGTAATAAAGAAATACAAAACAGTTTCATTGGAGATCATAAGTCACAGGGAGTGGATGCATCTGCGCCACTGAGAACGATTTTGAGCCATGTCACCAATTGTTTCCAACCATAGATTTTTGCCGTCCCGAGGACCCCAGCCTGGAAGTCTACACCTTCCTACGTGGCTAAGACCAACTGTTGTGGATTTCATTGACTGATGCCAAGTTTTTGTTTGACCGCCGCTAGCTTTTTTCCAGCCTGACCCTATATCCGCTAACATTGCTCGTCGAGGGAGGCGATGGCTTGGCATACGTAACACATGTCCTAACCATCTCAGTCGATGTAGCTTCACGACTTCGTCGATTGATTTCCCCTGTTTACCTAGGACTCTACGCCTAACCTCCATGTTGCTCACCTTATTATGCCACTTTACACGGGATATAGAACGCAGGCACCTATGATCACTGGCTTAGCAATTGACGCTCACTCAGTAAATCTCAAGTTCAAATTCCGCCTGACCTATTTCAGCCTGGGCAAATGTGTAGTATCGACAGTCATCAAATTACATAAAAGACCTATTCAGGAAACTGACTTTAAACAGCAAATTCTACATTCATTAGACTTTTATTATTCTTTAAGTTATGATTCCTTTTCTCCATACACTTCCTTTAGTATAGCTTTCTTTCTTTTCTATCCTTTCTAAGTGCACAATTATGAAGTGTGGCGACTTGAACTGTTGCAATTCTAATATGGGTAAAATTTATTTTGATAAAGTCTCACAGTGTTCTACAGTAATGTTTACTGATGACGACATTTCGAGCACAATTTATTGCCACCCATAATCATATCAAGGTAATCACACAACTCACACAACATTAATGTATAACACTGTGAGACTTTATCGAAACAAATTTTACCCATAATGGAATTATATTCTACCACAGTGCACATATCAGTAGGTAGTAACCAACTTTATGAGTCTAGTGGTAACATTCCTAACTTCAGCACTGGGTGATGCAGGTTCAAATCTTTGAAGCGACATGAGTTTCTTCAAGATCGGAGATATGCCCTGCTGAATGGTGAATGCCAACAAGGACCAAACCTAGGTCCAGAGATTCCTGCCGATTGTCTCCAACCATTTAACAACAATATATATGTTTAGCCTGTCATACATTACAACAAACCAAGTCGGAGATCAGTAAGAAAACAGAGTTAATGATTTAGAAAGTGTGGATACAGCATCATACCAATTTTAATGACTACCTCTAATTATTGAGAAGAGTTTTACCAGAAATCAAAAGAATGCTCCTACATGAACTGGTGCAATCTTGTTCAGGTTTCTCTTGGTTACTTTTCTGAATAAACATAACTTATGCAAGCAATGAGTGACAATTTATAGTACAAACTGAAATCTAAAACTACGTTGAATTCCGAAAATCAAGTCAACATGCCGCAAACTCCAGAAATTATCAAAAGGTAGACCCCACCTCCAACCGACAATAGTTAGAGAACCAATGGACATCAGGAGAAAGCGGACGGTTGTTTTGCGCTGTTTTTGGACTCTTCTAAAGTATGCATACATGACGTGATCGGAGATCGGACCCAATACCTTCAGGCTTTAAAATGAGCATGTTACCAATCGACTAAGATGTTGGGGGATCCAACAGCAAATGAATACTACCTCCTACCAATTCACGATATACAGTGTCACCGTCAGATAATGACATCGGCAAAGTGTGACGAAATCAATTCTAAAATCAATCAAATCGCCCCATAAATGATACACAATTCTCTTTCAGAAATCAATTTTCAGAAAGTGATCTCTACTTGATACAGTGATACGGCTGTTGTTGTTGTTTTTTTTAATTTTGACTTACCTGTGGTATTAATAAACGATTCCAATTAGTTTTCCAAAATGTATACATGATACTTGTATCCACATTTTCTTCTTTTCGTATCTTCACATGAATAATGTAGCATGATATGTCCTGCAAGGATATTAAACCAAAGACGTGACTAACATCAAGTGCATATATATATGCATGTTCATACCTGCTATAATTCACTATTGTACAATACATTACTTTAGAAACCGATAAAGTAGAATTACATTACAGATTACAGCTTATTCATGAAATGTGAAAATTTCAACCAACAGCAGTCTTATAATTTTAAAATTGGTTACAAATACATTTTTGCCAGATGATTGTTTATTCCTAAGGGTGTCATGGATCTATCAAGAAAGTGTGTGGTATGACTGCAAACCTAAATGATACTTCAGTGGATAACGCTTTGGACTTTGAAACTATGGGCACTGGGTTCAAGTCTTGGTGGGAAAATCATTAATCACTGGCGAATGCAATACGAAGTAGTGATAAACGTAACCACTACGCTATGTAGATAACGTGGCAACTCGAACTGCTGCACTTCGGTGCCAAGTTCTATGTTGAATTCAGACAGACAGACAGTAGATAACAACTGGTTTTCTTTAAAACCAGACTACGCATGAACAGATAACCATCAACTGAGCTGCTGTTGTTTATGCCGCCATCCATGACTACTTCTCGGTTGTTCACATTTTATACAGAGTATCTAACGATTAACAAACGAATCCAAAATTTCACCATAAGCCGACATTGGTTAGAGAACCATTGGAAAACCTAGGAGTACTGGACAGCTGTTTCTTCCTGGTTTGGGACTATTCAACAGTACGCAACCACCGAGATTCGAACCCAGGACCTTCCGGCTACAAGGCGAGCTCGTATACCATTAAGCCACTGGAACCCGATTCAATGGCCCATGAATTCTAACTTCTGCCAATTCATGACATAGCGCGACTCCTAGCCAATGTCTCCCGCAAGTATTTGTCCTCACACCCGACCTGCTGTACCCTACTGGTCACGACTTCTCACTAGAACCCTAGGTAACTACCTATCTAAATAGGACAAGTCGCTAGTGAGCATCTCATTGTTATTCAAGTGTTGGTTTGTAGGGATTTCATTTGGTTACAGTATTTCATCATGAGCTGACATTGGTTAGAGAACCATTGGAAAACCTGGGAGTACTGGACAATGTTTCGTCCTAGTTTGTCCTGTCCAGTACTCCCAGGTTTTCCAATGGTTCTCTAACCAATGTCAGCTCATGATGAAATACTGTAACCAAATGAAATCCCTAAAAACCAACACTTGAATCCAAAATTCCTTTTTTTAGTGTGGAACTAGTAAGAAAACCCAAAGGAACCTGAGGAAGGTCAATCCATAGAAAACCCATTTGGAACGGTCAACTAACAAGTTTCTACAGTTGGGTGCCTGTTAAATGAAAACGGATCCAACGTAGCATATGCAGTCCTGACGCCCTAGGAGCATAACTGCATCTTCTGGAATAAACCATCCAAAAATGGATAGCCACCAAGATTCATCGACAAGAGCATCAGAGCAAAAGTCCAGAGGAAGGAAACATTACATGAACCTGGATTTCAGAAAAGAAAAGAGTTAACCCGCGATCCCCTTAGGAAAAGAATTTCTGCATCTTTCAGAAGAATATTTTTCGAATCAACGCTAAAAATTATTTTCTCTAGTCGTCCATTGGTAAGCAGAAGTCTCAAGGACAAGATCTCGTATCTGACCACTTCTATGTGTGTATATATCAGTTCACTTCATACTGTGGAGTCAGGTACATTGGTTGTTCGATGCGTCTCCGGTCCAAAAGGGTTCAACAACACGATCACACCACATGATTGAAGGAAGGTGGCAGTGGCTCTATAAGGAGTGCAATAATCGAACACCTTGTCAACACTGACCACTCCATCTCATCAAATGCCTCATCCTTTAGGATAATCTACAAAGTGAAAGATAACCTACCAAAGGCGATACCCATTCGTCTCCTAGCTGCATTGCCGAAGCCTTTGCCACTCAGTTGGAAAAGCCAGAGTTATGTATACAAAAAGAAAATCATTCAACCACTTCTACTATCATGGCGATAACTGTGTTGATTTCTATTGACTTAGTATTTATGTGCTCGCTTTTATAACTCGTCATAACTCTTGTATTTCTTTACAACTCTTACATAATTTCATATTTTCCTTCCTTACTATGTGCATCCTGGTTAAAACTCACACATTAAATTATTTATCTCATTCACCGAAAACAGACTCTCAGCTGAACTACGTGTTGTTTTCATTTATATTTAACGATCCAATTAAGAAGACTATTTTAACTCTACTTGTAATATATCCCAGCTGACGATAAGTACACATCTCAGACCCCAATACCAACAATGTATCAATTTCGGTCTAGTCAATCGACGAGAACATCTAAAATTGAATTAAATAATTAATATGCCCCGTTGCTGTCTGTCTGTTTTCGACATAGAACTCTGCACATATGTGTGCGGTAGTTCAAGTCACCACAATCCGTCCATGTAGCACACAGGGTAAGAGAAGAAAGCAGAAGAAATGCATAATAGAAACAGTAAACAGAGGTGTGAGACAAAGGAAGAGTAATAACGAAGAACAAAACAGTTTCATTGGAAATCATAAGTCACAAGGAGTGGATGCATCTGCGCTAGGCATTGAGAACGATTTTGAGCCATATTACCAATTGTCTCCAACCATTGGTTTTTACCGTCCCGAGGACCCCAACCAGTCTGGAAGTCTACACCTTCCTACGTGGCTTAGATTAACTGTTGTGGATTTCACTAACTGATAAAGCCATGTTTTGGTTTGACTACCGCTAGCTCTTTTCCAGCCTGACCCTATATGACCCGTTGCACAAGAGGTGCCCCCCGTTGCTTAAGTGGTCTAGTGGATAACACTTTGGCATTTGAAACTATGGGCACTGGGTTCGAGCCTCGGTGGGAACATCACCACCCACTGGGGAATGCAGGTACATCCAGTGACGAGTCTCAAAGTAGGACGAAATGAGCATTGTGGATTCAATTTCACTGCTAGTCACCATCCACCAACTAACAATGTATCAGTTTAAAATGAACACAATTTATATGAAACTTACTATTTCTTCAACTGATGAATCTGAAGCACCAGATACAAGACCGATAACAAGTGAGTAGGTGTTACGTTTCAAATTATCAGAAGACAATTGGACACCTGCAGATACAGATATCTCTTGACTGCCAGGTCTATAACCAAAATGAGTAAGTAAGTAAGTAGGTAAGTGAGAGAGATAACGACTCACTTTAGGGCATATTTTTCAGCAGCATTACACACAATATACTCTTTAAGAGCATTATGATCACCAATAAGAGCAGTGTGAAACGACGATAAGGCAATATCGCGCAGTACACAACACTTAGTAGATTTAATGCTTGACACAGTTATCTGTATTGGATCGCCTACACAGTTTTGAAAAATAAGGAGAAAAGAAAATCAGCATTCTTACCATACATGTTACTTGTCGACGGCTGAAAACTGGTTATCACTGAATTATTGTAAAGTTTTGTTGTCAGCATTTCAGACAGCATATATCCTCTTGTTAGGACAGACATGCCTGAATCAGAATTCTGGCCATACAACCATGTGATACTAGAATGAATGAATGAATGAATTGCTCTATATGTGTGCAAAATGAAACTTACAATTTCTCTTTCATAACTTTCATAATAATTGATAGTATAAGAAGAGCGAGAAATATTCTAATTAATAGGAATCGGATAAAATTTTGTATGTCCATATCACACTGATTCACAGCTTAGGGGGAATTGTCCAACTGCTGCTGGGTTTTATCTGGCCTGAAAATGTGTATCACTAGAAAGAGGTATAAAAAAAAAGAAACGTGCACATTGTAAGCTTCACTCCCCCGATTGAATAAAAACGTCTTTAAGAAATGAGACAAACAATTGGATGAAATCATAGATGCTTTGAAAGTGTTTATCACGCATACACCATAACATGTAGCAAGGCAGATATATGAAACCCAGAAAAAGTTAATTCTACTTCAAACTAAATTTGGTTGTATGAAAAAGCAATGAAAAGTCAATCAGGTTTTTCGTCATGATTCCTGCCACAACAGAGTTTTTCAACATATGTGCAGTAGTTCAAGTCGCCACACTTCACTCAGCACACAAAGCCAGAGAAGAAAGTGAAAGGAACCGCGAAATAGAGACATTAAACAGATATATGAGACAAAAAATAGTAATATCGAAGAACAATATAATTTTATTGGGTATTATAAGTCACAAAGAGTGGATGCATCTGAGCCAGCCATTGAGAACAAGGATTTTGACCAATATCACCAGTTTTCTCCAGCCTTCATTGGTTTTACAATCCCAAGGACCAAAACCAGACACCAGTCTATACCTTCCTACGTGACTGGCTTAAACTAACTGTTATGGATTTCATTGACTGATGAACGCAGGTTCGTTTTGGTTTGACAGCCACTGGCTCTTTTCCAACCTGTGGCCCTATGTCAGCTAACATTGCCCGTAGTCGAGGAAGGCGATGACTAGAATGCATGTGTAACATATGTCCTAACCATCTCAGTCTATGTAACTTCACAGCCTCGTCGATTGATTTCCCCTCTTTACCTAGCACTCAACCAAAGCCTAACCCCAATATTGCTCAACCTATTATACCAATTCACACAGGAGATAAAACCAGGCATCTCTGATAAAAAAACAGCTAGCTGGTCTTTTCATGTCTTCCACTTTCAATGGTTAGGTCTCACAGCCATAAAGGAGGACGGAGCGGACTACTGAGCAGCACACACGTCCTTTGGTCAATAGCCGGATATCACGTCTACGCTAGAGACGGTGTAAACTGGCATATGCCAAACGAGCCTTCTGTATGCGTGCTGTGATTTCGTCGGCGATCGACCGGCTGGAACTGGCTGATGCAAATTCCCGAATACGTGAAGCAGTCAACACGCTCTACCACTTCACTCCCTACCTTAAAAGCTAGGAGTCAATGAAGTCCAGTCCTGAAGCATCATCTTACATCTGGTGGAAACGAATCGCATGCCAAACATCCGAAGATTGCAGCTCAAGGTGTTTAGAAGACTTTGTATTTTGTCATCATTTTTACCTAGAAGCACTATATCATATGCATATTCCAAGTCAACGAGATTATTCCCTGGTGGTAACAAGTCAATCCCTGACTCACTGAAATCAGTTAGGGTTAAGTCCATTAGTAAATCTATGATGAAATTTAATAGAAATGGGGATAATGGGCATCCCTAACGGACACCACTAGTTGTCACCACTTCAGATGACAACTCGTAAGCCCTCACCTGGCTGTATGAGTTCGAGTAGAGTACCTTGATCAGTGCAATGTATTTTTTCGGCATTCCTTTCACAGGCGAACATCGCTATAGTACTTCTAAGTTGATGGAATTCATTGTCGCTGTCAGGTCAAGACAGTTGTTGGACGCCGGCAAGTATGTCTATGTTCCAGAATCTTTCAAAGGGTAAAGATATGATCAGTACATCTTCTTCCTGGTCTAAAGCCTGATTGGTACTCTGGTGTTTGTTTCTCCTGAGAACCACCTATTCTACGCATGATTGTTGACCCTAGAACTTCAGATACCATATTAGTCAAGTTAATCCCTCTATGATTATCACAGGAAGACTTGTCTCCCTTTCTGTATATCGGGATAATCACTGACTTACACCAACCCGATGGGACTTCCTCTGATTCCCAGACGCTGCTTAGTACCTTAGTTAACGCAGACAGTAAAATGTCATTACCGTTCTTGAACACCTCTGGAGTCATTCCATCGCGTCCCGTAGCTTTGCCTCGTTTCAGACTAATGACAGTTGTTTTAACCTTAGTTAGGGACCAAACAGAATCAAATCTATCAACGCACTACACACAGGTGGGTTGATAGAAGCGAAGTGTACTGAGGTAAGACATGCCGCCAACCAGTGAAGTCCCTAACTATGATTGCCTGGGAAATGTCAACTGTTTACATAACGTCTACAAAACCATTAGAATTAATGTTGTCAGAAGACTTGTAATGGTAGGTCAAAGATTTAACCACAATACTGCATATGCTTTTATGCTTTATTTTCATCTTGATTACAATGCTTTACTTCTTTAGTATTCCCTCTTTTTCGATTTTATCATTAGGGTCATAGGACAAGTCTTTCTATCACTGCTTAATACGTGCGCCGGGTCACCATGGAGTGGAATATCAGTCATCGTTGGTGACTGACAGTGCTTGTCCTACTGGCTTCATAACGAAGCCGGATAGTGAGTCTAAAATAAACCTTATTACCAGAGAGATATTGAATTACTTAATATACTATGATCATGGATACGTAAAGGACTACATAATTGTAAACGATGATAAATGACAGTTAGTCCTTGTAATATATATATATATATATAACCTTGAAAATTAAATTGTTCTTTAAGTGTTCACAGATGGAGCTGATACTACCTGATAGGATAAGGAGTTTGAAACGTTGACCACCCTGTGTGATAATGTGAATACTACCAATATTGTTCAATCGCGGTACAAGCACTATTTCACGGCTATTTCCTAAACGCACCCTTGAAGGAAATAAGTCAATACATAAATTCCCGTTTAAATCAGGACAAATCATAGTTAAGTCACCTCTCTCTCTTCGTAAGATGGTGAGATAATAGCTATTCCAAACTTTGTGCCTATATATTTTTCCTTTTTCAGGACTTATGCAATCCACTTTAAAAATATATTGACTTGCATTGGACTTGCATGCAGTATGCTGCATGTTCTGGATTGGGTTTAACATATATTTTGATTAGTACACCTTAAATACAAACTTATCTGGGCTTGCAAAGCCTTGTTCACAACTGTACTACAATCTGCGGTTACTTCTAAGTTATAGTTGAGCATAATTCCAAAAATCCTTTTGTTCATTAATTGTCTGATGTTAGTTATCAACGGCAACTACTATATTCATTGTGAAACGTCACCGATCAGTGACGGATCTGTGCGCTCGCATCCCTTGGGACGCTATTGTTGAACTTTGCCATGTATTACACGACCCAGGCTACGGAAGAAATATATAAATCTCGCGAACCCGTATCTTTTAAGTGGGAGGTTGTTTGACCTGATCAACAAGCAGTGTGAACAAACAGTCCCTAAAGATTAATCCTGACAAATTGTACCTGCATGTACATGTTCACATACTTCTGAAAGTGGCGCTCGCCGGCCTTCACCTTTCAGGTTACAGAATTCAGTGTCCAGGCTTCAGATATGTCGTATATTAGATCTATCATCCTTTTCAAGTTTCGTAGTTCAGTTTCGTTTCCATATTCACTTATCCTTAAAGTTCACGCTGGTCAAGACGATATATTTATTACTGTCATTACGTTTAGGTCTGAAATTGCCCTATATCAGAATCTGACTTCTACATAGAATAAAAGAAATCTTCACCATCCTGTAAGCTTCGGACGATCCATCTTCCTTAGTGTCTAGCAGAAGAAATGGCCCAATTGTATCACTACTAAGTACGTATTATGTAAAAATAGTGTGGTGCACCTTGACTGTTTGAACTTTTGTTTTAGAGCATTCATATGGTACCCTCGCCCTTGCACCATCGATACCAAACGTTCGGGAAACTAATAGGCCAGCAGCAGTGGCGACTAACGTCCCCAGCGAACCAATTTAATGTCTCTTCTTCTATGTTACCGATAGTAACACAGGGACTAGCCTCCTGGTTTACACCGGGGCAGAGGCTAGCGTGGTTCGTCCCACAACCGAAGGGCCTGCGTACAATATGCTAAAATGTACGCTCAGCAAATGGTTCGCCTACCTCAACGTATGGCAGACGATTCCTGGACCTCAACATCGGCATGCATCGCTCATTTCGGTGGGTTTTCATCATGGTAGATGTGACCACCAGTATCAATGGTATGGATCTCTTGCAGAACTACCACTTACTGATAGATGTTGGCAGATACAAGTTGATCGATTCATCCACGAAGCTATCAGTCCCCAGTATTGTCACACACAAACCCTCTCTAATCCCAAAGTACCCAACATCTGCTACTACTGGCTCATACTCTGGTGTCCTTCAGTCTTTCGCCGATCATTTCAGACCAGCTCCCAGACTTCCATGTGTGTGTCACTCATCAGATAATGACGACCAACCCACCTGTTTTGCCACACCATGGCCGTTATCCCCTGAAAAACTCCGAGCGGTTAAGGCTGAATGTGAATATATGTTACAGATAGGGATAATCTGGCTATCTAGCAGTCCGTGATCTTCATTCCTACGCACAGTGCCCAAGAATAACAGGATGGTCTATAGATCTTGTGGTGATTACTGCGAGCCCAACACTCATACTGTTCTATGCTGTCATCCTGTGCCACACATACACGATCTGACGTCTTCTCTTAAGAGTGCCACAGTGTCCATCAAACTTGACGAGAGCCTACCATCAAATCCTAGTTCATTCTGAGGACGTCCCTAGAACAGCAGTGATCACTCCGTTTGGCCTCTTCGAAATTCATTCGAATGCCTTTTGATTTAATTTTTAATTTTACTACAGCTTGACTCCACACAGTATTTTTTATACAAGTATGGAATTATCAGCGTGTGATATCGGTAGCCCAAATTTGGCAAGGCAACCATGGACATTAGGTGTCCATCGGCCGGGATCGAACCCGGACCATATGCATCGTTGGCGAGCGTACTAACCACTGTGCCACAGACGCACTGCCTCGCGGAAGTTCCAACGTTTCAT